AACAAAACTTTTCCACTTCAGGAATATTTTTTAGAAATATGTGCAAAATATGGAAGCTCATGATGAATGATTTCTTGACCTCTAAAAACCAAAAATTTCTCTAACCCATATGATTTATCTGATGTCAGACAAAGTCTCTTGTGTATGATGTTTGCTACAACGGAATGGTTTTTCACATATCTTAAGAATGGGTTATCTGGGCTGGGCATGGTGGCTCACACCTGTAATCCCAGCACTTTGGGAGACCAAAGCAGGAGGGTTGCTTAAGGCCAGGGGTTCAAGTCTAGGCTAGGCAACATAGTAAGACTCCTGTCTCTATAAAAAATTTTTAAAATTAGCCAGGTGTGGTGATATGTGCCTGTAGTCCTAACTACTCAGGAGGCTGAGGTGCAAAGATCCCTTGAACCTAGGAAGTTGAGGTTGCAATAAGCCATGATCACACCACTGCACTCCAGAATGGGTGAGAGTGAGACCCTGTCACTTAAAAAAAAAAAAAAAAAGATTTTGTTTCCAATGTGGAGTAATGACTTGTGACTGAAGGGTTTTCCACATTCAGTTCTTTCACAACCAAGCTATTTCCAATGAGACAGAGAACTTGGAAGGAGGCTCCGCTGGATAACTAGCCTGGAGGCTGAGCCAAAAAGAAAGCTAGATATAAATGCTGGCCCTGAGTGAAAAATTTTCAAACAGCTTAGCAAAATGTGAAGCTGCTTTTCTACTGCTGAAGTGCATAGTTACGTAAATTTACAACTAGCCTTCTAGCTTCAGATCTAAAGGGACAGTTTTAACAGCACCTACTTGGAATGTAAAAGGAAATCCACTTTCCCTATTTGCAGACAAATATTAAGACTGCATTCATCATTCACTAATGAGGAAAAAGCAAATGCATGTGAAGGCAATGCAAAGCCTCGGCAACTTAAGGCAGTAAAAGAACATATGAAAAAAAATTCAAAAAAACTGAAATTCAAAAAGAGAAACAAAATGCACTGCCTTCAGTAATCCTGAAAGTAAACAAACAAACAAACAAAACTGAAAGTAAACCAAAATGTAAAACATTATATAGTTGGCCCCCTGTATTTGTGGGTTCTGCATCCACATATTCTGAGGATATGGAGGGCTGACTGTAAGGGAGCATCTGAGGGCTTCAATATCCGAGGTAGGGGCATCCTGGAACCAATTCCCTGTGGATACGGAGGAATGACTATATATGGAAAAGGAGGTCTAATTACATATACAGAACAGAGGAAAATAATCTTACAGAATACTAGGTGTAACTTTATGCCAATGTTTGACAGAATAGTAAATATGATTTCCAGATATATATTAGAAAAATTTACACAGAAGTAGAAAACCTGAAGAACAAAACCATTGAAAAAAATCTGCGAGGATGCTAAAATAAGTCCCTCTACCCTGACACATCCAAACACCAGTAAAAAAAGTATGTATATATGATGTGTCATTTCTAGCTAGCCTTCAAGGAATAACTGCTATATTACACACACTCTTCCAGCGTAATAAAAGAAAAAAAACTTCCAAATTCATTTTGCACAGCCAGCAAAACATTGGCACATTGAATCTACTTCTGAACTTAAAAAAAAAAAAAAGGCCAGGCGCAGTGGCTCACGCTGGTAATCCCAGCACCTTGTGAGGCCGAGGTGGTTGGATCACCTGAGGTTGGGAATTCGAGACCAGCCTGACCAACATGGAGAAACCCTGTCTCTACTAAAAATACAAAACTAGCCTGGCATGATGGCACATGCCTGTAATCCCAGCTACTCAGGAGGCTGAGGCAGGAGAATCGCTTGAACCTTGGAGGCGGAGGTTGCAGTGAGCCAAGATCGTGCCATTGCACTCCAGCCTGGGCAACAAGAGCGAAACTCTGTCTCTAAATAAATAAATAAATAAATAAATAAATAAATAGATTTATCCCAGGAATACAAGAAAATTCAATTATTTGGGAACTTTTAGATTTTTATAACTTGATAGAACTTAGCAACTATTCCTAATAAAACTTTAATATAATATTTATTACAGTATATACTAGGTGTCAAGCACTGTTTTAAGTACCTTACACATACTAATTTAATCCTTGCAACGCTATGAAGTAGCTCCACTTTATAGATGGAAGAGCTGAGACACAAGGAAGCTAGGTGATTTTCCCACAGTTACACACCTAACAAAGTGGTGGACATGCAGATTTTTTTTTTTTTTTTTTTTTTTTTTGAGACGGAGTCTCGCTCTGTTGCCCAGGCTGGAGTGCAGTGGTGCAATGATAGCTCACTGGAGCCATGACCTCCCAGGCTCGGGCAATACTCCTGCCTCAGCCTCCTGAGTAGCTAGGACTAAAGGCATGCACCAATACACCCAACTAATATTTTTTTATTTATTTAGGGACAGGGTCTTGACGTGTTGCCCAGGCTGGTCTGAAACTCCTGACCTCAAGTGATCCTCCTGCCTTCACCTCCCAAAGCACTGGGATTACAGGTGTGAACCACCACACCTGACTGGATCCAGAATTTGAACCTAGCTTGCTGGGCACAAACACATGGTTTTATTTTTTTCTTTTGAGATGAAGTCTTGCTCTTGTCACGTAGGCTAGAGTACAACGGTACGATCTCGGCTCACTGAAGTCTCCGCCTCCCAGGTTCAAGCAGTTCTCCTCCCTCAGCCTCCCAAGTAGCTGGGATTACAGGTGCCTGCCACAACACCCAGCTAATTTTTGTATTTTTAATACAGACAGGGTTTTGCCATGTTGGCCAGGCTGGTCTCGAACTCCTGACCTCAAGTGATCTGCCCGCCTCAGCCTCCCAAAGTGCTGGGATTATAGGCACATGCCACCGTGCCCAGCCCAAACCTGTGTTGTTAACCACTATATTACCCTGCTTCCTCTAGAAATAAGATTAGAAGGAAACTTCCTAAATGCAACAGAATATTTATCAATATCCAACAATGACTGCAAATGAAAATGTGAAATACTAAAAACATCCCTCCCGAGATTTAAGAACAAGACATAGAAGACCTGTTATCTACTACTCAACATTTCTGGAATTTCTTGCTAATGCACAACATTAGTGGCATAAGATTGAAAATAAGGCCAGCTCATACCTGTAATCTTAGCACTTTGGTAGGCCAAGACAGGCGGATCACTTGAGCCCAGGGGTTCGAGACCAGCCTGGGCAACATAGTGAAAACACATCTCTACAAAAAATACCAAAAGATTAGCTGGGCATGGTGGCATGTGCCTGTAGTCCCAGCTGCTTGGGAGGCTGAAGTGGGAGAATCACCTGAGCCTGGAAAGTTGAGGCTGCAGTGAGCCATGATCACAGCACTGTATTCCAGCCTGGGCAAGGAAGTGAGACCCTGTCTCCAAGAAAAAAAAAGAAAATTTAAAGCTAAAGGAGCCACTAATTTATTATATACCTAGAAAATGAAACCAAAAAATAATTAAAACTAAAAATAATTCAGCAACATAATCATCCAGATTAAAATTTTTAAAATTAAAGTTTATACTAGCAATAACCAATGTAATTTGAGGTATGGCTTTCAAATGCAGCCAATTTTCCTCCATCCAAAAGCCTGAGGCTTTTAAGGATGTCAAGGCAATGTTTAATGACAACTACACCACATTGGTGTAGTATTCCCTATATCTACTCTTTTTTTTCCCTACTATTCCTACCTTAGTTATGACTAGTGCAGGTTCCCAACCTCTAAAGTGTTAGTGTGGTAGGTGATGAGCAGACAAGAACCAGAAGGTAAAACTGCAACATCCAATAAGCAGGATCATTCTATTGAAGACTTAACCAGAAATGTCCAGCTCAGGGTGGAGGGCTGGACCTATGTTCTCATATAGGGTTGGGCTTGTCCCTGGGATCTGGGAGCTTCCAAACTAAAACAATGAAAAAGTCCTATCTGCATATCTTCTAAAGGAAAACAGAAACACATACTAAACATATCGTTGAAAACAAATCTAAAATATATATTCATAAGTGGCAAATTTTTAGTTCTGTCCTGGGTTCAATGTTTTCAGGACTCCTTTCTAAACTTGCCTGAGATATCGCCCTAGAATCACATCTAATCTTATTTTCTTATGCCTCAACTCCACTCTTTCTTCTTTGTTAAAACATACACCACACCTCAAAAAATCTCCCTTCCAGATTATATAACTCACATGGTTCCTCTAGCCTCCTCCTCTACTCTGTCACACTGTGGATCCTGTAAACCTGTTAAGTTTAGGGGATGAAAAGAGAAGGGGGTGGACACCAGAGGCAAAGGTCCCCCAGATCTGGGACATATTGCAAGGGTGGAAGGGAAAAGTTGTTCAAGCTCATGAACTGACATGTGATGGCAGAAGAAGAGAAAATCTTCTGAGATTTCTTTTCTTATGTCTTCAGGGAATGAAAGATGGTCCAGAAGACAATTATGATAATTAAAGGTACAGCTCTCATCTTTAAATTAAGATGGCAGTTGTAGGTAGATAGGACTAGTTGATAAGGAAAACAGATTACTGTGAATCTATTATCTTGCCACAAGTCTAGTCATAGTGAATTCCAAGCATCCGGGAATGTGGCTAGCTGGACTTTCAATCATCTATACCACTGCTATGAAAGTCAAGTCTTCTGTGCAGTAAATTTTGACACAGTTCTTAATCTGTTGATTTAGGAAGCAGGGTACAGTTAGGAAATTCAGAACTAGACTCAGCACGGAGGGAAAGTCCATATCAGTGGGATATGATTGCCCAGCCCAATACCTAGATACACACACATTCACACACACACTCTCTCTCTTTCACATACATACACACACACACACACACAAATCCATTTGCATTTTGAGGATGAAGTAACAGTAGTAAGACTTCGAGGAGTATATGCAAAAGATATCAGTAAGATCTAGGTATGTGATATTCTATGATGAGATGGACTTCCATCTTTACAATCAGCTGGTCCAGCTGGGGAGGGGAGAAAGATCGTGCAAACTTTAAGGATAATTCAATGTGACAGTTGAGATTTTTAAAATTATTTATTTAACAACTGGTATGTACAAAATACTATCTATATGGGAAAGAAATACCTACCTGACCTCAAAGAGCCTACAATAAGTTGGTATAGAAGTATACAGACGTGCAAAATTTACAAGGCAATTTAACAAGTTACACATTATAGCACCAGTGAATTCAAAGCACTGAGGTCAAATCAAGAGAAGTTGAAGAAAAATAAAAAAGTACTTGAAAAGAAACTATTTCAGAGATGAGACGGATTTCAAAAATTGTGAGGGACAAAGATTAGTAAACAGAAGAAAATGTTTTCTAGATAGGGAATGAAATTGATGAAAGGCTATAGATTAAAGTTTAAAGAGTAGATGGGGAGGGCCATAGCCAAGAGGCAGAAAGGCATGAATCAACCTTGTTGAATGACTTTGTATAAATGGTGAAATGTAGGAAGTAGAATAGAATAGAGAAGATATTATCTCTGTCCTTGAAAAGTGTGGAGTCTGATTATGAGATGCATAACTAAGAAATGAAATAGATTTTAAAAGTTAAAATTTAAAAGTAAAGAAAAAAAAGGAAATCTACAATTAAATGACATGTGTAGTCCTTACCTTCCTAATAATGGGTAAGAACTGAAATAAGTTACTCCTAGTCTCCCACCTTAGTGATCCAAGGAAAAGCAAGTAGGAAATGGTCCACTGTGACTATTGGCTCTGGGAAACCACTAAGAGCATCCTTCTTATAAAGAAAGCTTAACTCAAAGGTCCTTGCTCTCTGTCTCAGTGAATCATACCTCAAGAAACTGACCAAGCCAGACCTGAGGGCTTCTCTCCAGTGTGAGTTCGCTGGTGGTGATTAAAAGTGGAACGCTGACTAAAGGCTTTCCCACATTCACTACATTCATAAGGTTTCTCTCCAGTGTGGACTCTCTGGTGCACAATAAGCTGTGAGCTGTCACTAAAAGCTTTCCCACAATCATTGCATTTATAGGGTTTTTCCCCAGTATGGGTTCTCTGATGTACCATAAGGCTGGAGCTATAACTGAAGACCTTCCCACACTCATGACATTCATAGGGTTTCTCACCAGTGTGAATTCTCTGGTGTATAATAAGATGTGAGTTTTGATTGAAGGATTTTCCACACTCATTGCATTTATAGGGCTTTTCACCAGTGTGAAGTCTCTGGTGCCGAATAAGACATTTACTCAGACCGAATGCCTTACCACACTCGCTACATTCAAAAGGTTTTTCTCCAGTATGAATTCGCTCATGCTCAACGAGTTGCGAGTTCTGATTGAAGGCTTTCCCACATTCACTACATTTGTACGGCTTTTCGCCAGTGTGGAGGCTCTGATGTCGAATAAGACATTTACTCCGACTGAAGGCTCTGCCACATTCACTACACTCATAAGGCTTCTCTCCAGTGTGGGTTCTCTGATGGTCAATGAGATTTCTATTGGAACAGAAAGCTCTCCCACACTCATTACATTTGTAAGGTTTCTTACCAGTGTGCAGGACCTGATGTCGAACAAGACTTTTACTTCGAATGAATGCCTCTCCACACTCATTGCATTCATAAGGTTTCTCCCCAGTATGGGTTCTCTGGTGGTCAATGAGTCGGGAACTCTGAGTAAAGGCTTTTGCACATTCATTACATTTATAGGGTTTCTCCCCATTATGGAGTCTCTGATGTTGAATGAGATGGGAGCTGTGCCTATACGCCTTTCCACACTCACTGCATTCATAGGGTTTTTCCCCTGTGTGGGTTCTGAGATGAACAATGAGCTGGGAGGTTTGCCTGAAGGTCTTCCCACACTCATTACACTCATAGGGTTTCTCTCCAGTGTGGATTCTCTGATGGCCAATAAGGTGAGAACTCCGATTGAAAGTTTTGCCACATTCATCACATCGATAGGATTTCTGTCCCTTTAAAACTCCTTCATGTTCAGCAGGACTGGAGGACAGATGTGGATGTTCCCCAACTTCCTTATATTTGTCGTATCTGTCTTTTGTGGATTTTTTCTTATCTTCATCTGTTATTTCCAAGAAATCATTTTCTAGCTTGCTCCCTTCTTCATCTGAGGTTTGTCCTTCTAACTCTTTGGAAGTATCTTCACAAACACCTCCAGTCTCTGCTCCCCCAGGAACCATCCCAAAGAGTCCCCCTGATATCTTGTTAGATGACTCTGATCCTTTAAAAATTTCCTGCTTTGGAGTCAACTCTGAACCCTTCATCATGTTCTCACCTGCTGCCAAAAGAAAGAAGACAACAACTTTTACCCATTTCTTATCCTGTTTAAGAAACAGAATCATTAACAGCTAACGTACCTGAAAAAAAGTCACATTATGGTTAAGAAATGAGATGACACATTGAGAACAAGAGCAAAATGGGAAATATTAATAGCTCATTTTTTCCCTAGGGATAGAAAAACAAGAAAGGGGAAGATGGTCAGTGAAGACGGATGGAAAAAAGATACTAAGCCAGCACAACCAAGTCAGAAGGGTCATTGGAAAGTAAAAAACCAGATTGCAAAGCATGCTGTGATCTTACAAAAGTTACTCTCGTGCTGTGTCGCCTTAGTAAAGTGATGAACTCTAAGATCCCTTCCAACCATAACATTGCATGGTTCCATTGTTATCAGAAAACATGTTGGGAGAGAGGAGGCTGGCAAATACCTCAAGCCAAACGTAAGAAAGAGACAGGGAAAAAAATGAGAGTGAATTGACCGGAAATTTCTATTATGGAGGTATGATAAGAAAAGTGTACAAAAAGAACAGATCTTATATGATAAACTCATCAACCACAGGATCTGCCTTTCCAAGAAGCCCTTTCAGGAAACTGCTCTGCCCCAGTGTTTGCAGAGAGGGATGCTTAGGCAACCACGCTTTGTGCCAGGTGACCCTGAGCATCCCATGATGGGCCACAGGTGATTGGACCGGCACCAGGTACTAGACTCAATGGCAGCTTATCTGTAGGTTAGGCTTCAGCCTCTGCTGTGGCCTGGGCCAAAGCTCTGCCCAAATGAGATGATGGGTAATGGCTATAGCAATGGAAGTCCATCTCTGAGGAAATTTGGAACTGGAGGTAGGGCAAAATTAAGGTACTTACGAGTAGCAGTGGAAGCTGAAGTGGTGCATGGAGAGAAGCCAAGCCATTGAGAGATACAGCAAGCAACAAGTATAAAAGAACAGAAAGTACAATTAGAAAAGAGCCATGAAAAGGACAAAAGATTCACAGCGAAGAAAATGGGCAGCAGGAGGAGGACAAGCAGAGAGAAAACAGATACACTGCGAGCAGCTGCATTACATTCACACCGGAACATGGGCATCAACATGCATTTGCTTTTGCTGTTCAGGCTCCCAGGGTCAAGGCCCTGCTTTCCACAGTCTGGTCTAGCTGATCTGTTTCTTCCAGGTTCTCATTCCTTTAAGCCTATGACTCACAGCTCCTTATTTAACAATAACTTGAGTGGCTCTCTACTCCTTACAACTAAGAAGTCCTACCTAAATCACACTATATCAATTCATAATGAGGTGAAGAGAATGCTGATCATTGTTGAATCTCAGTGATGAATGCAAACAGGGTCCCTATATTATTCACTCTAGTTTATCTATGTTTGGACATTTTCATAGTAAAAAGTTTAAAGAGACAAGGAATATAGAAAAGAGAATGTGCAGCATGCAGACTCTAAGTGACTGGGAAACAGAATCATTACCCAAGGAGGCCATGCTGCGGTCATTTTCCGGCATCATGTTCCACTGTAGGGCTCTCTGACTGAGTGCGGGACATTTCCATTTCTTCTGAGTATAGCCCACAGAAAGGTCCTCAAATGCCACAGTATCCTGGAATGACAAGCTTCAATCGCTCAGGAACATTCACAGCCTGAGGGGCAGAGTCATCAGGGGTACAGAGGGCACAGGGTATGGGGTCTTCATGGGCAAAAGCATGGGAGAGAGGAGCTGAGATGACACCCCAAAAGGACAAGTCCAGCACAAGATAGAGTCCATTACCTCCAGGGGAAGCAATGAGGCAGGAGAGTCACAGGAACAGTCTTAGATGGGGCAGAGTCCTGGGGGTGAGACCTCTAGCCATTCCTGGACCAGACTAATGGGGACGTGGTAAAAACACAAAGAACCAAGCTCACCTGGGGCCTGACCATCCGAGGTCCTGAGTTCCCCACTTGAGGAAGGGTAGGAACTGGAGAAGCACATTGAGCTGAGGGAGGAAAGAAAGCTATGAGTGGGACAAGCCCTGCTTCTGGCTCCCATAAGATCTATATTCCCAATAAGTGGATTCAAGAGAACCCAGGCACCTCCACACACACTGACTCTTAACCTCTTCCATAAGGCATTATCCCAAGAGTGCTGTGAATTTTCCCTGGAGGGCACAGTACAAGGTCCCGTATCAAGCTGAGAACTGGGTGTTCCTCCAAGCCCTCATTCTCATCAACTTGTTTCAAGGAAGCTATTCTGGCCACACTCTCTCTCCCATGGCTTCCCTAGCACCAGCCAGCCCTGATTTTCCCCTCACAGTTGTGGTTCCTCATGCCCTGGTTCCTCTTCCTGCTCCTGCCCTCTCATTATAGACCCCTTAAAACTCAGGCCCCAGTGCTTCCTTGTTCTTTCCGTCAGCAATCTGACCAACTCTCATTGCTTTAATACCACTGTCACAATTCTTACTTCTCCCCTAGACCCCTACCACATGCCTCCTGTTGCCTATGGGACATTTCACTTGGGGGTCCTGCAACATCTTAAGTTCAGTGTCTAGAATGGATGGATGTTCTAGGCTAAGGTGGGAGGCTGGCTTGAGGCTAGGAGTTCAAGACCAGCATGGGCAACATAAGGAGACCTCTTTTTCTTCCTTCACTCTTCCCTTCCCTTCCTTCACTCTTCCCTTCCCTTCCCCTTCTCTTTTCTTTTCCTTTCCTTTCCTCTTTCTTTCTGTCTCTTTCTTTCAATTTCCTTCCTTCCTTCCTTCCTTCCTTCCTTCCTTCCTTCCTTCCTTC